TATGTGTGATGTTCCAGGGATCCAAAATGGTATTTTTGGATCAAGGACGTCAAGGAGTATATGTGTATAATATTTCACGTTAATCGGACTCCGTTTGGGTGGTCAAACGGGCGTTGACCGACAAGTCAACTGCCATACCCGACTGGGTATTGACACATACCCGACCGGGTATTTGTTGAAAAATTGCTCCAGGAGGCTACTGCCTCCTATACCCGATCGAGTATGGGTAGATACTCGATCGAGTATACATTGAAAATTAGCTTTGTGGACTACTGTCTCCTGTACTCGACCGAGTATGGGTTGATACTCGATCGAGTATTGGGTTATGCTCAAAACGGGTAGTTTTGAGCGGGTTAATGTGGGCCGTTCAGGTTGGACCCGCCCACGTTGGTTCCTAAGGTTGGTTATATGACTATAGGGCTAGGTATTGTCCATAGTTGAAGGAACGAAAGGTTAGCCATATCCAGGTTATGGTTTGGTAAGGATTTAGTTTGGGGTTGAGTATCCCCGGGACATTAAATGATCCTGAAACTCGGTTGGGGTTGAGCATCCCCGGGACTATAAATGATCCTGAAACTCGGTTGGGGTTGAGCATCCCGGGACTATAAATGATCCTGAAACTCGGTTGGGGTTGAGTATCCCCGGGACTGCAAATGATCCTGAAACTCGGTTGGGGTTGAGTATCCTCGGGACAGTAAATGATCCTGAAACTCGGTTGGGGTTGAGTATCCCCGGGATGCTAAATGCTCCCAAAACTCGGTAGGATATTATGAATGTAGAATGTAGCTGGTGAGCTAGGCATTCGGGAAAAGGGTGAGAAAGGTCAGGTAAGAACTTTATCTCTAAAAGACTCTTTGAATGAAATGACCTACGGGTCGAGTATTTTACAAATATACATATATATACAGTATGTATCATCGGATGAATGAGTCATATATATATATATATATATATGTGTGTGTGTGTGTGTGTGTGTGTGTGTGTGTGCGTGCGTGTGTGTGTGTGTGTATGTATCACCCTATTTTGGGGTCTCGTGTCTGAAACATTAGTTATTCTTCATATAGCCTGCTTGTCACTAGTACTTCTATGGAGTACTGACCCCTCCGGGGGCCTTCACATTTTTTCAGGTTGAGACTAGAGTCCTACTACCTGCACCTTTGCCTAGGGTGATTGATCAAGAAGGAAGACGTGGTTCGTGCTTCCATTCTTATTTCAAATATATAAACTGCTCATGGATTTTTGAACAATATTTTCATTAAAACAGTTGGGGGCCTGCGTGCCCGTGTTTGCCACGTGTGGCTAAGTATCAAAATTATATTTCCGCATTTGTTTGATTTTGATATTGATGTTGATTATATGTGTTTACTAATCGGTTTGGCAATAGAATCAATCGGACGCCTTGTACAATTCAATAGGGATGAACTGTTGTTGTTCTTATCGGGTTGTACGGCGGTTGTCTACGTGGCTCGGATGTGGTCCGGGGCGTGACACCTGCGACCACTGCAGATATACCTGTAACATCATCACTGATTTTTATTGTTATGTTTTTGCTATTTTACTTCATATTATTTAATTCTAGGGTTAATGGGATATGGGAATTTATCTCAGGCCGACACCATTTAGTCTTGAAACGGAAGTACCATTTTATAATTCCCGCTGATGATATCAATCGTTTTCTACTAGATTTTCCCTAACCTAAATTGTTGTCTAGGATTAGTTTAGAACTTCATATCTTATGCTTGTTAGGAATTTAGGTAACAAAATGTGCTTTTGGCGACCATGATGAATGAGTTACACCTTACTGATTGAATAGAAAGATTGTTTTGTTTTGTGAACATTTTCCCATTAGCTATTCTTTTATTAGAAAATATAATGCAGCTGTGGAGCTCTTACAGTTGGAGATTGTGAACTGTGATAGTTATGTTAATGCATATGTGGTGGAAAAAAATCACTTTAGGTATATTGATAAATTTGGGTTTTAGTTTTTTCTTATAAGCATATCTCCTTATATATATAAAGGGCCAAAGTAACGGTGTTAGAAAATCTTGGTGTAGTTTACTGTCCAAATTCTGTATCACTTAATACCTCAGTTCATTTTATTTAATTTCTGTAATGGGCCAGATTCACTACTTGTGCAGGTGTGTATCTTCTGTGATTGTAGGAAGAAGTATTGAGCCATCTACAGATTTCATCTAGCTTGTTTCGTCTATTACATTTGCTTGAACAATTTTCTAATTTACTAATGTAAACTCCAGTTTCACTATTTGTCCAGGCGTGTATCTTCTGTGACCGTAGGAAGAAGTATGGAGCCATATGCAGATTTCATCTAGCTTAGCTTGTCTCCTCCATTCATTCGCTTGAACAATTTTCTAATGTACAAACAGAAACTCCATCCTCCCTATCCTCTCTCTAGCTATTTCTCAAGACGATCGAAAGTTGGAGTCGGTACGAATGAACTACTGCCAAGGCCCCATCTATCCTCACTGTTGTTCATACCATGTCTGCGAGCTGCACCATCTCGATTGAGAGCTAACAATTAGTGTCCCTAAGCAATCACTTAGTGTGTAGGTTTTTGAGCTATGTGACGGGTTTGGCAGTTTTGTCAAAGCTAGATAGAGTAATGTAGCAGTGATAGAATGCACCAATGATTGGGTTCTCTGTTTCAATTCTTTTATCTTCGGTTTTAGTTTAATTTTAATTTTCAGGGTACTCTATTTGCGAGAATGTTATGGGTGATTCAAATTTTCCCGCTTGTGATATTAGATTGCCCCCTCATATTGCGGTCTCTCTTATTGTATTTTCATGCGCTTCTATCATTTTGTACATGATTTGAATGAATGAAACCCAGAGGTAGCTACTGTTTTGAGAAATTTGGGAATGATTGAACCTATCAGAGGTAGCTAATATTTTGAGAACCCCACACATTGTTTAGAAATCTTTTCATTTTATCATAAGTGGTCTAAACATTATTTCATAATTGCAACCTGATAAAGTGGTAAACGTTTTAGCATTATTGAAATTGTGTCATGGTTAATTTCTACTAATAAGTTTTGTTTTGTATGCAGCCTTGCATTTCAGCAAAGATAGTTGACTGTAGGCAGTATCATTTAGCTATAAATGTGAAGATAGACATAAACCATTAGTAACTTGGGAGTAGTATTTTGGTTAGGAATTTCCTGACTGGAGCCCCGTCAGGTCATCTCGTTTTGAGGTGGTTTCCGATGTTATTTGTTGTTTAAATATTTTGAGAGCGTCTCCTCATGAAGTGTAGATGATCTTCACCAAATTTGAGCAAAACATTCCATCGGAAAAACAGGCAAATGATTTTTGGAAGATGATTGTGCCAAAATATACATATAAAACACAGTTATCTTTCAAAAGTCATTTGACTGCCTTCTTGATTGAATATTTTAATCAAATTTGATGGAGATCATCTGCACTTCCTGAGGAACATGCTCAAAAACTTTGAGAAAAAAATACCACTAGGAACCACCCCAAAAACGAGGTGGTTGGATGCGGCTCTGGTTAGGAAATTCCTGACCATAATATTAGTGAGTAACTTGATATGCATAGCAATGTGTAACACAACATAGACACCACATAACACAGCTTGAGTTTCTTAGGGGGTTTATGTTGCCCAACTGGAACAAACGCATAATAAGACACCACATCTTAAATAGACAATATACATTAAAAAACAATAATAGCAATATGTGTATGTTGTTAACATCCTCCGGTAATTCCACCTTCACTACACTTTTTAATGGTATACATACTTGTTTTAGGTAGTTAAGTTTCTTATTACTGTACCATTACACTCCTCATACCATATAGAAACATGTTTCAAGCTTATTTCCCTCTTGTGAAAACTTCCTAGGAAATGGTAAGTTTTTTTGGGCCCGTGATTTGCATACTTTTTAATGGTATACATACTTTTTTAGATATAATTTGCATCAAAATAAAACTAAAATTTTATATTGGATGCACTAACTAATAATCACATAACTAATTATTCATATACTGGTACAATTTAAGTAGTGATTATCCATAACTTTCTTGTTTTGATAGAGTATACAAGTGGTTCGAATAGGTAACGGGACTACACCCTCATCCAGCCCCCTCAGCTGGTTGAGCCGTTGAGGGACCAATTTTGCAGAACAGTGAGAAAACGCAAAGGCCCCTCTAACTTCTTGTTCTTCCCTTTCCATTACCTAGCTTCTTGTCTTTCATCCCACCGTAGTGCCCACACGACCAGATCGAACTATTATCCAACACTGCAAGATAGATAAATGATTAAGCAATATTAGCACTATGAGCATCACAGAATACCGAAAGACTTCAAGCATTAGCATTATATACTTGTACCATAATTAATCTGAAGGTAAGACAAAAAAGTTCACATAGGAACCCACTTTCATTCCCATAATCCAATTCAAGTTTTCTATTCCTTGGTTTTATATAAAAACAACACCTTCTTGTATTAGATATTACAAAAAATAAAAAGTTAAGATTATTACAATGTACTCAAACTTACCATTTTAACTCTCATACTAAGTTGGCTGACCAAAATTATTACAATGCCCACAAGGATTATTCTGCATTACATTAATGTACATATTATTTCCATCATTTTCAATGGAGCCAAAGACTCACTATTTTTTGACTTGGGAATATGATGAAATAAAGCAGAATGGCTCACTAAACTGTTTGTGCTTCTTTGTTATGAAGTAACAGTCGGTCTATGCAATTTTCGACGCGATTTTCACTATGTGTCATTCGGAAACAGTCTCTTTGTGCTTTAGTATAGGGGTAAGACTGTGTACATCTGATCCCCTTACCCCACCGTAGGTGGGAGCCTTTGGGACACTGGGTAATGATGATGATGACATTAATGTACAGATTGGGAAAATATGATTTCAATTGGTTAACACTAACTTTTCAAGCTTTGAATGATTATTTAGGTAGGAGCCTTATACTACCATTTTGAGCTGTTAGTGTGATCATCAACAAGATGTATGAATTAGATGGTGCCAAATGTAGAATGCACCCAAACATTCCTAACGTGCACCATAAAATTTTCCAAAATATGAATGGTGTAATATTTGAGCCGCACCATACAAAACAGACCCGTCCTCTTCGCTGGCCAACTGTGTTTTCTTCTTCGCTCATCAGAATCCACATCCCAGTTGGCAACCTTTTCATTCTCCATCATCATCATCTTCGTTCAAAAACAACTATTCTCCCATCATTGGAATCAACCAGAGCTCAACAATACGGAAGCAACTCCTCTCTCCATTGGAGTTTGAAAATTCAGGTTTTGATTCCCGTTTAATTTTCTCTGAATTTATTACTTTCATTTCTTGATTCAATTTTGATTCCAGTTTTTTCTATGGCCACTTAGGGATTTTTCGATTCCCATAGAAAAGTTTTTTTCTTCCAAATTTGGATTCCACTTTCAACTCATTTTCTGGCAAATGGTTAATGCAGCTGTAGGGCAAGGATGATAATCTGCTCTCCTATTCGTTCGTTTTTTCGATCTCTGCTTTTATAGTTTTTTCTTGTTTCCCTAAAATTTGTTCGTTTTGGTGAGGATTTCCTCATCCGTCAAAAGCTCTCTATTCAAATTTGTATCTCGGTTTTAACTAAAGGTTTTTGTTTCTCTTTGAATTTTCCAGATCTTCTGTTTTTGTTATTACTTTGCATCCGTTTCATCCATTTCAAATCTTACTCTTCAGTCCATAATATTGGTATGTGAAAACTGATTGATTTTGTATTTAGTTTTGTAGTTTCGTAGTATTTAATTTGATTTTTATATTCAAAGTAGTAGATTAACTATCAATGATTTAAAATATTCCGTGATATTGTGTTCTAATCAAACATTGAAGCTTGCTTTGGGTGGTCTCTGTTTTCTGAAAAACAAACTACACATAAGAAAGTAACTTTTCCTAACAATTGTTTTTCCTTTCCCTAGCATTTTCAGAGACCAAAGCTAATTATATCCCTAAGGTTTCGAGAATAAATCTAAGAAATGCACCCCAATGAGAAAACATTGACTCCTTTTCCAAATGTTTTGCCGCTAAACAGGTGAGGGATTGGGTATCTATCTTCTCAAAGGGATTTGGTTTTGTTAGATACTTAACATCAGAAGGACTGCAACCAATATAAAAAACATGTAGCTCAATATCTTTAATCAAGCAAACTCTCCTTTCATGTTTTCTAGAGGCAGTTTATGTATTTTTTTTATAAGAAGTATGTAAAATGGAGTTCAGTAAAAAATTTAGAGGCTAAAGAAATTAGTCTTAGAGTACGAAATTTCAATGCCTTTACCGTATGTCCGTATCAAAACTCACAAATTCTACAACTATTTGAGCACCCCACCACCCATATAAATTGCTTCTGTTAACAATACTCAAAACTAAGAGGAATTGAAAGACTATAACTTTCAAGTTTTAATAGTAAGACAAATGAAAAGTATACTTTCTTTGGTATGTGCACACACCAACCTTTTAAACCCCAACTGAAATTATCAGTTATTACTATAGGACAATGTGGTGCTTTCACGAGTCTGAGCACTTGATGTGGTGGCTATGTGGTGATTATTCCCTTGCTTCAAATTATATGTTTTCTATTTTTTTTATTCTTCTTAAGTTCTAGGCTAAAGGCTTTATGTTTTACCTTAAAAGTTAAAACTATATCGATTCTATTTTCTGATTCTTTATATATCAATACTACAGTGGCAGTTTAAAAACATTATACTTTACTCATTTACATCTTCAGAACTGGAGTTGCATGTGATAGCTTGATTAAAGTATGGGGTTGTCTAGACTGATTTTGACCATCACTAGAGATAGGTTGACATGGTCATATGGTTGATATAGATGTCTGATCGTAACATTCAGTTTTTTGAAATCCTTATTATTATATACTCCCCCCGTCCCCTAACTTTGTCATGTTTTACCTTTTTCGTCCGTCCCATTAAGTTTGTCCCATACCATATTTGGTAATAGTCATGGTAGTCGATAGCGCAATATGGCGCGCGCGCCATGCGCCATGTGGCGCGAAAAACCCTCTGCGCTATGAAAAGGGGCTGTGGCGAGGTGTATACACATGGCGTCGCCATTCCTGCGCCTTCGCCATTTGGGCGCCATCGCCATGGCGTTTGCGTCGTCCAGTAGTCGTCTAGGCTCGATGTTGGCGAAGAAATCCTCGATTTATTCACAAGTCGAACCGCAGTGGCAGGCCCAGAACCAGATAAAATAGATTTAGGCCTTAATTAGGGCTAATTCAATTAAGGTTTCAGGCTTTAAATTAAAAGCTAAGCCCAAACTAATCAACCTTACGGACCATTCGTTGCCCAAAGTTGCACGTAGGAAGCAAACAACTAAGACGAACTCACATAGTCGCCCTCCCTCAGTCCCTCGCGGAATCAGAGCAGCAGAGGAACTTGCAGACTTCCCAGTTCCCAGGTCCTTGATCTTTGGCTTCAGTTTTTATTTTATTTTAAATTGTAATTAATTAAGTTGTGTATTTATAATTTTGTTGTTGTAACCTTGTTTTTGTGTGTGCGTTTTAACTGTGATACTTCTATTTTAAAATAACCTTCTATGATATACTTCACATTTTGTTTTGATTAGTTTTTTAATTTTAATTCTCATTAATAAACCTTGTTTTCAATTATTAATTGTGAGTTTCTTTTGCAATTTTTTTCATTAATTGTGAGTTTCAATACTAAGTTATATACAATATAGAATTATATATATAGTTATAAATATATAGCTATATATATAAATATATAGTTTTATATATATACATATACATATATATATATACACACACACACACACACACATAAACCCTAACAAAAAAAACACTAACAAAACCTTACTATTTTAGCTCATAATACTAACAACAACCCTAACTACAAATAAATAAACACAACTAACATAAACCCTAACTACTATTTTTGCAAGACAGAAACTTTTTTTTGAATATTATGTTTTTTGGAAGTACTTTGAACTATTTTATCATGTTTTGGTGGTTGGGTAAACTTGGGTTGATGAATTGCAGTATCTATTTTGAATATTATGTTTTTTGTCACGTGGCGACGCCATATTTGCGCCATCACCATCGCCATGGAAAATGGCCTGTGCGCCATGGGTTGCGCCATGCGCCATGACAACTATGGTAATAGTTGAGTGGTTACAATTCATTCTTATTTTATTCACACTTTATCAATCCAATACCAACCACACAATTCAACTTTATCTTAAAAGTTGTGCCACACTCCTTTATCCCAAACATAATGGGACGGAGGTAGTAGTTTATAAACCAGATTTTCACCTCTACTTCTAGAGTAGTACCTTAGGGGTCTGGGGTTGTAATTTTCTTTTTGATGGTGGGCTTCTGTTCTTTATATTTATAGAAGTTCGATTAGAGAAACATCTGATGCTTAGTCGTTCTAGATTTTATGCGCCATTCAGGGTATGTTCAGTTTACTTTCTATGAGCATATGAATATTGTGAGAATGGTAACATCTCAAGAGAAAATAGTCATCTTAATAGACTTTGCACCAACTTTAATAGTATAGAAACAGACTCTAAACTAAATCATACTCCGTATGAAGTTAAAAAAACTCTTTTAAGTTAAAGTTTTTGAATTATTAGCGTAGGATTCCTAGGAACTCAAGATCTCATGTATTGCTTTAGAGGATCATGAGAAATGGGTCCTTGCACTTTTCTACTTGACATAAAAATCTTGAGTTAGCATAATGCTAAAACCCAAGTAAGTGAGGCAACATAAGTAAATTTTAAAAAGCATATCAATCACTGCTATTTGGTGTGAGTAGTGCTGTAGTGATGACTTGATTGTTTTACTCAAAAAAGTATATGGTACTTACTGTACTTTATCATTCTCACAACTCAAATCATTAATAATTCATTAAAACTAGGGAAAATAGACCTAAATAGGAGTAAAATAACCCCTAAGTGCAGAAATAGGACTATAATGTGTATTTTCCCTATAATTTCGAATCATAATGACTACTTTGTACTTACGAATACAGGAGTGAGGGTGGTATAAAACTACATGACACATTGGTGTCGGAGTTGGCACATATGCTCGACACACATAATGTCATGCACAGTCATTTAGGATGGCATGGGATTGATTCAATGCATCAACTCCACAATGTTGAAAATGAGACTTATTGGGAAACGTAGATCGGAGGGACGTACTTATAGTACTCCAAGCGTTTCAGAATTAGCAGCTTTAATTGAGTGGGATTTTGATTTGAATAGAAGATAGAGGAATGTTATCCTTCAAACAAAATCTCGGGAATTTTAGTTTATGACTGAACTGAAGCCTTCCTTTTTAGGATTACAATACTCACTAATATTCCCTTATAGTCAAGATGACTTTAGAAAAGACGTTTTATTGACGTGTGCGATGAGGTATATTATACAGAGTATGTGAAGTTTATTATATGTGATGATGATGATGATGGAAAACCGGCTAAGAAAATTAAATGTTGTCTGCAAGGATGTATATAATAATTTGTAATTTTTTTATCTTCATTTTCTTTTGTTAAAAACAATATACTCCCTGCATATTTAAAAGATCACTACATTAGGTCATGGCACAATATTTAAGGAGAAATAGTAGGGGTAATGAATACTGTAGAAAAACTAGGGGAGAAGGGTAAATGTGTATTTTTAAATGAAAAACGTACCAAAAAGGAAAAGTATATCAAACTTTTAAATACATCCCAAATAGGAAAGTGTAGCAAACTTTTAAATAGGGAGGGATTATGTGTTGTTCTATTTTGATCACAACATTTTTATATATTTGCAAATAATTTGTTACTGACTGCATTCACACTGGTGAAAAATTTAGTAGAACTATAGAAGGAAAAACAATGGAGCACCTAAACCCACTGTCAACCATTCCATCAGAGATCAGCCGGGACATATTTTCAAGACTGGAAGTGAGGCAGCTGTTGATAGCCCAGTGTGTGAGCAAAGAGTGGTACTCCTTCATACAACACATCAAGCTCTCCTACACCGGGCAGCCACGAACTCTCCTCCTCACGCTTAGACCCTGCAGGGACGGAGAACATTGGGAAGTGAGATCAATAAGCCCTGATCTTCGCAGCCAAAGACTGCCCGACTTCACATGTCATCTTTCTTCGGTCAACCATTATGCTAATGCTTATAGCTCAAGAGTTTGGGGTTCTTGCAATGGGTTTGTGCTGGTTGCATATGGAAAACACATTCTGATGTGGAACCCACTTACCAGCTGGTCTACTAAAGTTCTGGAGCTGCAAAGCCTGCATGGGTATATTGTGATGGGAGGGCTTTGTTACAATCCATTCACGTCAGATTACAAGGCTGTCTTATTACTTAGAACTGCGGAGGAGGTCCATGGTCAATGTGTTATTGTTTCTAGTCTGAAAAATAAGGAGTGGACAGAAGTGTCCTTCCCGTATCTCTATATGGCTTCCCGAGATAGTGTCAACTTTAACAATACATTCCATTGGATAGTAAGATCTGAACATGGGCATATCCATGATTATTTTGATGATTTGAGATGCTGCAATAGGATTGTTTACTTCGATCCGGTTGATGACACTTTCAAAATTTTGCCCTCCCCTAAGCCGATTAGTCCAGAAGAAGAAGACTCGGTAGTCGGTGCGGGAATCATAGATGGATGTTTCTGCATGGCTCGGAAGGATAGTTGGAGGCAAGTGATCCAAGTTTCAGTTATGAAAGAATATGGAAAAGCAGAGTCTTGGATCACATACTTTTCCATGTCCATCTTGAAATTTGCACCACAGGACGCTTACGACCTAAGGTTTTTGTCTCAAAATGGGAATAAGGTACTGGTGACATCTCGCAGTTTTGGGAGAACTTATGTTTATGTTGTTGAAGAAGACAAACTAGAACGAGTAGGTTTTGATGGTGATTGCACAATCAGTGCTTGTATTTGTTTCTACATTGGAAGTTTTGATTTGCCACGCGAAGTTAGTTGGGGGTATGATGATGATGAGCACAAATGTAGCAGGGTTTTCTTATGATTATAAAAATATTTACTATGGCATTTAGATATCAATACTTCAGATAAGATAGCTGATAACTAACAGTCTAATGAAGAGCATACATATAGAGCATTTTTAGATTTTTATGATGCAGTTATATATATTCAACCGGTGCTATTTTATCCTTTGGAATATCATTTCATACCTTTTCCCATAGAATGACTATATTTAGCCATCTTTGGGTCTGGTACTCTGGTGTATGATCTTAAGGAGTTTTGAACTTAAGCCCCCTTTGGAAATTCAGAAAGCAACTAGAAAGGATATGAATCCTCGTGTATATATGGATTCAACTTACTTATCTTCTTTTCCAGATCGAGTTCATACTCTTACTCATGACTTTGTTAGTAAAAAATACTAGTAATAATGTGTGAATGTGTGAAACAGATTTATTTCAGAGAATCTTTTATGAATAATTACGATATTAAATGAGGTCCATCATATGCCTTGTCTATTATTGGATTATTATACTACCATTAGATTATTATGTAAGCTCTAAATCCAACCATTCATGATCTAAGACTTCAAAGATGAATTGAACTATGTATTTTGTAGTGAAGTTCCTGTTTCCAGATGTCCATAGCTATCTCAGTGCATAAGATAAGATGGTCAATATAGTTGGAAGAATGAGATCAATATCACCTTTAGACTTTTGGAACACAAAATTAGACTTGTTTTTTTAAATAACCTTCAAATGTTAAAAAAATTCAAGTTCCTTGTCTTTCAAGACCCTACAAAAAACATTTTACCTCTTCATTCTCCATCTGGATTGGAAAGATCGAATGAAAGAAGTTCAATCGTCGTCACCCAAAATACAGAGCCAGGGCACTTGATTAGTCTACAGCTCTAATAAATCATCGAACAGCTTGCAATCCCACAAAGATCACTCTACAAAACAATGGTTGCAGTGCATCTTAATAAAAAAGGTTAACATTATGTCAATTTCGATCAAAATCGGTGTATATACTTTTTTAGTGAAAAAATTGTGCTCATTCTTTTGTTCAATTCTATAATCTTTGTGCAGGATGACTTCCCACGTTTAGATATCACAAAATTGACAACAAATAATGTACATGGCATATCTGATATCTCGATTCGATTGTTATGATGCAGTTATATACAGGGTATATTCAATTGGTTCTATTTTATGCTTTGGAATGTCATATCTTTTCCCATAGGATGACTAAATATAATAAGCAGTCTTTGGGGTCTGGTAAAGAGGTTTAATTAGACTATGAATCATGGTCCCTTGAATATCTATTGACTTATGTGTATGATCTTAAGGAGCACTGAACTTATATTAGGGTAACAGGGTATTATTAAGCAGTCTTTGGGGTCTATCTGGTGAAGGCAAAAAATAAGGCTTAGTCCGGACAAAAATGGAGATATTTCTGTTTCAATTAAGAGTATCTCACAAGAGGTGGAAGGCAACTAGGTCAGTGTTATTGTAAACTTCATTTATACTTGACATTAATATATTTTTAAATATTCAACCATCAACAAGGGGATGTCGGTTTGTACGGAGTTTCTGTAGATCCAAATCTTTGCACAAAACAACCAAAAACATACTTGTGTATTTTATTTTACCAAACAACCAAAACAAAGTTAAGGTTGTAGCAGATTGAGATCTTTTAGAAATCACATTCTTTTTTACAGTTGAGTTTATAACAAATTAAAGTTTCATTTTCTAGATCTAAGTACAGTTGAGTTTATAATATTTAAAAGGTTCTAAATTCTAATATTAACAACAGTTGTTCATTAAGCTGATAATCATTCAATCGGAACACCAACATTATCTAACAACACTTCAATTTATGATTAACATCCACTAAGAGTACTACAACAACGACAACATCCAAGCCTTAGTCCCAAAAGATATTGGGGTCGGCTAACATGAATCGATACATGATATCACAACCAAAAGGAAAAGAAGGAATAAAGATAAAAAGATAAGCTATTATGAAAAGATAATATAAAAAAGATGAATATATATAGAAATGATAAAATAAAAAGGCTGCAAATAATGCATATATATAAGGATAAAAAAAACTAGGAAAAAAAGATGAGGGAAAAAGATTATCAAGATCACTCCTTCACGTGAATACCCGCCCTCCACTTAGTTCTCTCCAAAGTCATGCCCTCATCCAACCCCAGAAGAAGCATATCACTTCGAACTCCCCTAACCCACGTCTGTTTGGGTCTTCCTCTCCCTCTCTTCCCTGCCTCTTCTCCACACATCTCAACTCGCCTAACAGGTGCATCACTCGGTCTTCTACGCACATGACCAAACCACCGTAGGCGCGACTCCCGCATCTTGTCTTCAATAGGTGCTACTCCCACCCTTTGTCTGATTGTCTCATTCCTCACGCGGTCCTTCCTAGTATGCCCACACATCCAACGCAGCATGCGCATCTCTGCCACACTCATCTTTTGAATGTGACATTGTTTCACCGCCCAACACTCTACGCCATACAGTAATGCAGGCCTAATTGCTGTCCTATAAAATTTACCCTTCAGTCTAGTCGGCATACCTCGGTCGCATAGAAATCCTGACGCACTCTTCCACTTCATCCACCCTGTTCTGATTCTATGGGATACATCTCCATCTAACTCACCGTCCTTCTGAATTATGGAGCCCAAGTAACGGAACATATCGCTGACTGGTATCTCCTTACCATCCAGAGTAATTCCGCTATTACCACTACTTCTACCTCCACCAAACTTGCACTCCATGTACTCTGTCTTGCTCCGACTTAGTTTGAAACCCTTATTCTCCAATGTTTGTCGCCATACTTCCAACTTTGCTTTAAGACCTGATTGCGTCTCATCAATCAATACAATATCGTCGGCAAACATCATGCACCACGGTATATCGTCTTGAATTGACTTCGTAAGTTCATCCATGACTATGGCAAAAAAGAAAGGACTCAAGGCCGATCCTTGGTGCACTCCAATAGTAATAGGGAACTCTTCAGTCCTCCCTACACTAGTACGAACACTTGTAGTACAATCCTCATACATATCCATGATGATGCTGATATACTTGCGTGATATGCCTTTCCTAGTTAAGGCCCACCAAAAAACTTCTCGAGGTACCCTATCATATGCCTTTTCTAAGTCAATGAACACCAAATGCAGATCCTTATGAGCATCTCTATACTTCTCCATAAGTTGACGAAGAAGGTGAATAGCCTCAGTTGTTGAGCGACCAGGCATAAAACCGAATTGATTCTCTGAAATCTTCACAGTCCTTCGAAGTCTTTGCTCAATCACTCGCTCCCAAAGTTTCATGGTGTGACTCATAAGCTTAATCCCTCGATAGTTGGCACATTCTTGTACATCACCTTTATTCTTAAATAAAGGGATAAGAGTACTCTTCCTCCAACTCGTTGGCATCTTGTTCTTTCTCCAAATTATGTTGAAGAAACTTGTTAACCACTCGACGCCTCTCTCTCCCAAACTTCTCCAAGCCTCGATCGGTATGCCATCTGGCCCCATTGCTCTTTTCCGTCCCATCTTCCTCAGAGCTTCTTTAACTTCCGTTGTTTGGATCCTTCTCACAAAATCACGGTTAACCATACAATCTGGTATGGACAAATCGCCGATATCTTGCGTTTTGTTCCCGTTGAATAGTGTATCAAAGTATGACCTCCACCTCTCTTTTATCTCTCCGTCGTCCATTAATATCCTCTGATCAACATCCTTCACACACTTAACTTTTGCAATATCTTGAGTTCTGCGATCACGAAGACGAGCAAGTCTATAAATATCTAGTTCTCCTTCCTTAGAGTCCAACTTTTCATACAACTCCTTGTTCACTTTCCCTCGTGCTTCCCTTACGGCTTTCTTTGCTTGTCTTTTAGCCTCCATGTATGCTTCTATGTTCTCATCACTCCAATTTGTCCCCAACTTTTTGTAGCAATCTCTTTTGTTCCTTATGGCTTGTTTCACCTCATCATTCCACCAAGATGTGTCCTTTTTAGGTGGCCGACATCCTTTAGATTCTCCAAGTACCTCCTTTGCCACTTTGTTAATGGTCAACTCCATGGATAACCACACATCATCCACCTGTGTTTCATTATCAATACGCCATACATCTTTACCGACCATTTTGTGTGTAAAGCTTTGTTGAAGATCTCCCTCTAGCTTCCACCACTTTATCTTTGGCTCCACTTGTTGTTTAACTTGTCTTCTATGGTTCTTACCTCGAAAGTCAAGCACAAGCAACCTATACTGAGTGACAACACTCTCACCTGGAATAACCTTACAATCAGTGTAGCTAGTTCTCCCAGTGGTCCGTAATTTGGGTACTATTAGCTCCACTTTTATAGGTTACAAGGTGAGAGTCTCTTTTCTTAAACCAAGTGTTCATTATAGCCAACTCATACGTCAAGGCAAAATCCAAAATGTTCTTTCCCGCCTCATTCCTAGTGCCAAAACCATGTCCGCCATGAATATTCTCAAAGTCATCACGACTCGAGCCCACATGCCCGTTGAGGTCACCTCCTATGATCAACTTCTCTCCCCTTGGCACTCGTCGCACCACGTCTTCAAGATCTTCCCAGAACTGTTGAGTTGTAGATGCATCCAATCCCACTTGTGATGCATAGGCACTTACCACAGACACAATCTTAACTCTTATCACCAATTTAACATCCACTAAGAGTGTGTTGGTTAAATTGTGTTGCTATAGATACAAATCTTTAAATGTACACAAGTAGCACAATAAAATTCAAAATTGTAACCACATATTCACAACTGGTATTAAGGCTGTAGCAAATCGAAATCATGTTCTACAAAAAATGTATAGCAGAGACTAGACTTCTTAAAACTGATGTATAAATCTATCAATGATTTTTTTTTGTGTTTTATTACTATGTTATTGTACTTCTACTGTTTTTTATAAATATCACTCACAAACTAACAAGCTTTGTTTCAAGCGGTATTATGTAGAGTTAATTATCAAAATAAGACTAAAAGTCATTCATTTTTCACAAATAGGACCAAAAAATAAATTATGTTTGCATAGGACTAATTATGTGTACCTTGGACAATTATACCCTTATAGCTATTAAAATGTTTTAATTCCTAATAAAATAAAAAATAAAATAAAAATTCGTAAAAATACTAAAAAATTAAGAAAAACATTTCGATATTAAAATTTTAATTAATTTTTTTTTCAAAAAATTAAAAAAATAAAAAAAATTAAAAAAAAATAAAAAAAAAAACTCAA